AAAATCGAGTTGTAAAGTTTTTCGAGGTATCGTGACTCGTATTGATTACATGGTTGACCGTAAATGCTTAACGTTCAGCCAGCTATATTATAGTATAGTAGTAATTATAATAACATAGACTTCGGCGGTACCTTGGGCGGCATTTACCACGCATGCGTTGCTTGCATATGCGCGTATGGCCATAATAATAATACGAATATATTACATTATAGTGTACTACACGATAATAATAATAATATTAATAATATAATAACATTACGTATTATACAAGGCGTATAATATACGCGACGCGGTTCGCTGAGCAACGAGCATTACCGTCGTCCGATTCCTCCCCATTTATCTCGTGTCCATTATTATATTACGGTACCTAATATTGTATGTATAGTACGTACCTACTACATACGCGGTATTCGATTACCCGAGTGGTATAAGAGCACTTTTTTTTGTGCGTGATCTCACCACCACTCGTTGCTGTTGCGGAAAATAATAACAATAAATAATAAATAAACTCTCAGCGATCGAGGATTACGATCGGACATTATAGTATTAGCGGGGCAGCTGATGCGTCGGTTCGTTCATCGACATCATAATATTGTATTATTATTATCATTATAAACGGCCGGCGGCGGCCCTGGACCTAGCTGGTTATAATCGTATAATGCATAATAATATCATGTAAGTACCTTTATATAATATATGTCGTTGGTCGTTCTCGTTTGCATTTCAGCGATCACGTCATACACACACACACACACACACACACACACACACACACACACACACACACACACGCACACTGTACACATAGGCACCCATTATAATGTTATAATATTATATCGCTTTTATTCACAGCGCACAATGCGAGAACAACCGCAAAAGGGAGAAGACGACGACGACAATATGTCTCTGCGTCTCTAGACGAAAGGTCGGACGTATCGACATAATAATAATAATAGGAGTTAGGCCGGACGGACAATGATAGGTAATTCCCATTGTCGTCACCGAGCCGCACCGCCGCACATTTTTTCACTATATTATTATTTATTATGTTTCTACCTACTTTATACTTAGGTACTTCTGTACATAATATAATATATTGTATTAGAGCATAATGCACGCCGGGCCGCCACGTAAACAAACACAGTGACAGATGTAGCCTAATAGATTCTCAGTGTTACTTCCTCAGTTCCTTGTCGTCGAAACAGAATAGGTACACGCCGCTGCCAAAGTACAAATAATATTGTCATTAAATTATTATTGTCTGTTTTTTTTTTTTTGGAACACGAACATATCCGGAACATAAATTCATAAAACCTATCTACGTACCACTGTGACTTAAAATAAACTAAGTATCTATACCGATTAGTAAATTACTTAGAGGTTCCGTTGGTATAGTTAAATGTTATATTATAATATAGCAATGCGTTTGACTAGTTTGTTTGCGAATCGATAAAAGCATTTTTACAGTGAACTCGATACATTTATTGATTTACTACTTATATATTAATTTTTAAAATTAACTGAATGATCATTTGAGATAATCATTAATAATTCACTGTAGTTGGTCAACGTGTTAATGGTAGTTATATAATTTAATATAATAATATCATATAGACACTTATATACATGTAAGCTATAGATATTTGTAAATATTTTTTTTTATCATTAAACCCTATTATATTGGCTACATTAAAAATTTAATTAAAACATACTAAATTATAAAAAACATAATAAATGTCATCGATAAACATTGTAAGTATATTTTGTAAAGTTACTTTTATGATGAATTTTTTTTGTTATTAAGTCTTGGTTAGAAAGAATACTGAGTGGATGTATATTAAAATCAAATCGATTAGTAATATTTTGATGGCACATAAATGGTTATTAAACAATATTATAATCTAATAAATAAGTAACTGTTGATAATATGTAATGCTTGAAGACTCAGTTAGGTAGAAGCGATGTCAGAAAAGTATCAGACATAACAATTAATAACTTAAAAAATTAGGTATAAAATAAATCTGAATGATAAAAGGATTTATTGATTTAGAAAATATTTCTTCGGATCCACTAAGCAGCTCAAAGCAATTCACGTACCTACTATTTTATTTTGTATTTGCATTTTAAAAATATCCACAAGTGCATATTTGTAATATAATGTTACTCGTTGGATATTGGTCGTTTGGTTTGATGTGCTTCAATAGTTTTATATATTTTTATATTTAATATTTGTTTAGTCATGCAGTGAATCGGAGCTTGAAGTACTGCACACGATTTTCGGCTATATTAATTATATTTCTTAGTATTTTCAATAGGTCTCTGACAAATAGGTAATAAAAATAATATTTTAATTTTAGACTATAGTTGTTGTCAGACTATTTGTAGTAATAACTACTTTAGTATGAATAAATAAAATTATTTCATGAAAATTATTTTTATTGACTAACAAATAGTGGATAGTTATCACTAGTAATCAATAGTATACCATATCTGTACTTCAGGACATTTCGACTTACTAAGGGCATTTATTTTAAGAAGAATAAAATCTGTGGTTTAGAAGTACTGTATTTGCCGTTTATAAATAGCAAGTGGAAAGCAGCTGTATATTTATGGGTCCATACCCAATGGGCGGTATGTGGAGCTCCACCTAGAGGGTCACGTTCAACTAAATTATGATAAAGAGGTCACAGTAATAATTGCGTACGTTTATTGGGTAGGTAGCTAACACAAAAGTGTGTAAGAAACTCCAATGATGTCCACGTTCGAAGGGTTAAATAATGTTATAATTGGCTATATGTATACTGCACACGCGATCAACTTTCACGGGAACAGAAGATATGTTAGATCAAAAATTTAGGACAACAAAGTTACAAGAAACTACGGGCCGTATGCATAGTCATTTTAAGTAACACCTAACGGATTTTAGGTGACACCTAAGAGAATTCCCGTAACTTTGCAATGCATAGTCATAGTTATGGGTCTGCTGCTACATAAAGTAATCCGTAAAGTTAAGTGGTCAATATCCATCACCTAGCCATCCCGTAAATGTTTAATTTGATGTTATCATTAAACAAACCTATAATCTATATTATAACTTGTCGTTATATAATTGTATTATTATAATTATATTATTCCTTTTTTTAATTAGACTTTACTGTTGATTAAGTAATTTATTTATTTACATATTATGTTCTATACATACAATGATATTTTCTAAAGAAATTTTCTCTGTATAAATGAACTTAATCTACTGCAGTACTAATGCCTAATAGTAAAGTAAATTACAAAATAATAAAATTGAAGATTTTTGGTTTTCGAAAATTCATAAACCAAAAACTATGTTTCAAAAACGTTGAATTTCGTCTTTTTGAAAAATTTTAAATATACGATGGATGAAACTTATTATTATAAACAATTAATCTCCTATGTATATGACCCCTACGCTTCACTGTTTTCGCGTAAAACAACTCGTAATTGTTTTTGAAATTTTTGATTTTCAATTACGCTTTATCGAGAACCCGTTGGCCGAACAAATATTTTTTAGAGGTCAACATGATAACCGCAATATTTTACAATAGAAACAGTTTTTAATTTTTGCGAAATATTAAAATTGAAGATTTTTGGTTTTTGAAAATTCTTAAACCAAAAACTATGTTTCAAAAACGTTGAATTTCATCTGTTTGAAAAATTAAAAATATGAGATAGATGCAACTTATTATTATTATCACAATAATATCAAAGAATATACTTAGTAATATTTTAGGCTGACAAACCACCTCCGCTCAGAATCCTTATTCGTATAAAATGTTATTAGGTACCTATATCATTGAATTCATATTAAACACCTATTTTTAAATTTAAATTAGAATTTTTCAACATTATAGATACTGCGTACTATATACTATTTAATTCATCAATTTTTGGTTTTATTTAATTTAGGCTATTTGTGGACCATCAATGGAATTCCTAGATTTGGTAGTTAGATGGCCAGGAAGTTATCACGATAGTTTTATATTTAATGGCAGTTATGCAAACAAATATTTTTCTGAAAATACTCATGGAGTAAAATTGCTGGGAGGCGGTGGTTAATATTAAATAATAGTTTTGTTTTCTGTTACCTACGACCTACCTAACTAAAATATTGTTAATATTTAATTTTTAATTTTATCATTTTTGTAACTTATATATATATATTATGCATGTACACAGAAGTCAAAAATTGCATAAGTTCAATTAGAAAATTAAAAATGTGCACACAGATTAAATATTTAAATAATATTAGTAATTTTTTATTAGTTATTATTAGTACCTTTTTAACATTGGAATGAGCATTGAAATTATTCATTAGACTTAACCATGCAATGTTTTTTTTTTGCTGTTTGTGTTGAAGTCTTTTTTACTATCTTCTAATACGTTAGCCACCTTTTGGAAACAATGAAAAAATATTACTTTTTCTTCATGTTCCCAATTTAGCCCTCTTTCACGTTTTAAAATTTTGCTCTTTAAATCCATTATGTCGATTGTCGATACTCCCAAGTTTCAGATTAAAAATATCAGTCAGTAAAAACAATATTCAATTTAAAACTCGAAAGTATAATATTAATTAATAATAATTATTAATTAATATTCTGATATAAAATGATATTAAACAACTGATAAGTCAATATAAAATTTTAACAATTTATTTTATCATGTGATAAGTGATAACACCGACAATTATCATAAATATTACTGATAAGCATGGAAGAATACATTCATTTTAAGGAAAACAATATTTAAGTAATACCTAACTACGGGCTACTTAAATTTTATCTATGCAGCCAAAAATTAAGTAGCAGCTAGGTGTCACCTAGCTGCTCCATAGTTAGGTATTACCTAAGTGATTTTAGGTGCACCTTAAGTGTCGGACTATGCATACGGGCCTACGTGTTTTGGATTTTTTTTTTTTTGTACCAAAATATACATTTTTTAACATTACAACGACATCTGATGCTCAAATACTAAGCAGCTGTGGCGGCGGTAGAGGCAGCGGTAGAGGCAGCGGTAGAGGCGGACTTGCCACTGTCACTGCTGGTGCTAGAATTTTTGGCACTCGGCAGACGGCCTCCGCTCCGGTCAAGGTGTTCGCGTAGGCCATCGAACATCTTTTGCCTGCTCTTCCGGCCGTTGGCGGACATCTCGCCGACGGTGTTGGACACGTGCGTCATGACTGCGTCGAGGGTGCCCGTGACCGTGCCCAAAATTGGCAAATCGCCTACGATGTCGTCGATGTTCCTGACACCACTGGCCAGGTAACCACTACTGGTGGCCACGGTGGCGCTGAGGCCGTCAAACAGTTGACTGCACAGGTATCCTAGGGCAAGCGTGGCCCGGCCACCGGCCTGTGCAATCTCCTTCAAAGACTTACCGGTCTCGCTGCTGACGTTCGATACCGTCGAGCCCGTGTTCTTGATCAGTGACTTAAATACGTCACCGACGGTCTCCACTCCATTGATTGGCGTCTTTTCCCTGTCCTTGGTCATCGAATTTGTCTTGTCTAACGTCTCCGAGGCCTCGTTGCCAGATGTAGAAGCCGTCTGAGAATCTGCAGGCACGGGTATAGTGTGGATGCTGCCCATCTGTATGTGGATAAATAAAAACGAGAACCACGTTATCAAGCATTGCCCTAGGAGTGCGTATATGGGGGAGGTCAAGTTCCAGATTATTGGGTATTTTTTATTTTAATAAAAAAACAAAATTAAATTGTAGCTAAAATAATTTAGACTAATTTGTCTTGTTTTCTACGACTGTATAATATATTTTGTACACTGACTACCAAGTAAATATCCAATCGTTAATGTACATTAGATTAAGTTGATTATGGGGATATAATATAAAATATAAATGCATATTTAATTCACATTAATTATTTAGAATATTAATGAAATAAAAATGAAATAAACTCTAACGCACATATTAACGAATAACGATCGTATATTAATGTGGTATTGTAATGTATTGTAAAATGCTTATTTGATTCGAAGCTGTAGAAATAATATTAGTGATGAAATATGTACACCACAAAATAACTGTCATTAACTACTCATTAACATCAACGATAAAAATAACGTTATATTGTAAGATCTAATGCTGTGAATGTATTTTTTATTTCAAGATATTTAAATGTATATATTTATCTATATGGTTTACGACCACTGCTGAAGTGAACAAGAAATTAAAACGTTTTACGTTTATAAACGAGGTTAAAATATTAATTATTTAGATTATTTATTATTAAGATCGAGTTGAGTCATATTACTCATATTGTTGAGATATGAAGTTGAATTCTGAGTGAATCGAAAAATGTGTTAGTATTAGATCATATTATGGTTTTAGAATGATATGCTTTGTCTCAAATTTTGCTTAGTATATTATAGATATGTTACCGTTTGTAAGACGTACTCTAAAAATTCACATTATAATTGATACGACCGAATGGTTTGCCCTCTGTTTTTCGATGCAAAAATCTGGCAGTTTATAATTAAATTTGGTTGGTCTATTATAACAATCATCTTAAAATTAAAGCTACATAGATTTTAATATTTAAAAACAAAATGAAAATTTTAGAGGTAATCTATTACAATAATGTATTAGTATAAAATCTGAAAACCGCACAATTATAACAATTTATTGTAAGGTTTTGTATTTTTAACAATCTAAAATATGAATTATTTTTCAGTTTTTAAATAGGCACTAGTTCTAGATTAAATAACCTTAAAGGCAATCATAAAACAAATATTCTTGAAATATATTTAATAATAAACCTGGACCATAAAAACAAATCTTCATGTTGCATAACAAAAAAAAATTAATATTTTTCTTTTGATGTACGAACAAAAATGATTGGTTTTTAGTGTTGAATATATAAATTAAATACTTTAAATAAATTAAATACTTTTAATCTATTCATAAATACTTAGGACGAAAAATTAAAAAAGCATACCTGGAATAAACAACCAACCAACAAGTAAATTATTATATTTTTAGTATTTTGAGCGAGACAAGTCATTTTGAAAATTGTGTTTTATCGAAATTGAATTTTACCAAGTCACTTGTGATATAGATGTAATGCTGAAAGACCACAAGTGATCGCTTTTATTCAGTGATTATAACGACGGAATAAACATTCAATTAGCAATTAAGTAATATACATGTGTTGTTTACAGATGTGCTATAAACGTTATACTCAGTCTACATTATAAAATTATCAATTAAGCGATTTAATTGCGACCAGGATTTACATTTCTATCCGTCTCCAAAACAAACATGAGTACATAACCCATTTCTCTGCGAATTTATGTTTTTTTAAATGTCCCCTACTTGAGGTTTGAGGTCATAATTCTCATAACCGAGGTGATAAAATAAATAAGTTCTTATAATTACTTATTTTAGTTTACATAAGAATTCGATGTAAACTAAGTAGATAGGTATGTAACTAATTACTAATTAGCAATTATGTTAAGCAAAGTTCAATTTTTTAACAACCAACTGAATTTTATCCTAATCCAAATTTTAGTTCTAAAATGATTAATATTGTACCTAATTAAGGTATAATTTCACATAATAATTAATAATAACTATTATATTACATATCAATAACTAGTTATTGAAATGGAAATTTGGGTTTTGGATAAAAGGTTTTAGATTTCAAGCAAAATTTAAAATATATTGGCTTAAAACAGATGTGTTTTATTGTCTAATTATATTTTTTCTAATATATTATGGGTACTTAGTTGGTCTTCAGACGGCATGTCATTTTTCGATATTCTATAGGTACCTACCTATATAGTATATTACTTAAGTGAAACTCAAAAGGAAACCTTCCGGAAGTGTAAACAATAGGTATTGAGAAATTATGTAGGTAGAACATTTTAACAAAACTAATGTTGGTTATTCACTTATACTATAAATTCTTATGCTGTAAATAAAAAAAAAAAGAATTGTTTGGACTTGAAAATCTTTCTATATATTATATTTTATTCTACATCTTTGGATAATTTAAAATTTAGTTTAAACTTAGGTAGCTTTGACATTTCCATATAAGATGACTTTTACCTACTGTGTTAAAAATATTTAATAGATAATCTAAATCGTTATTATTATATTTTAAATTGAATAGTGAATACTATTGATAAACTATGTTTGTAAATTAAAAAGTAAATATTTTTTTAGTAAAACAAACTCATTAATAGTCGTTTATAAGAATGTGATTAATTTATCATTGAACTTAAATAATATTTTACCTAACTATACAGCATACATATTATGTAATAAGAACACAACAAAATCTTGTGTTTAACATGGATGTTCTTCAACAACAACAAATTTAGTATTTATATACTGTCCAGATTTATTATAATAAATCATTAATTTAGCTAACTCTTTTTTCAATATATTTCATGAGTACATATAGTGCTCAAGAAGATAATATAATATGTGCTACAACTATAAATTTAAATTTTTAAATAGATTCTGTAGGTACAATCTTGAGTCCTTTTAAGAGGTTGTTATTTAATTTTCTCAATTGTCTATCATCGTAATAAATTAATGCTGACAACCATACACATGTTGTTTAATAAAATAAATATCAGCATGATCAACTTCAATCAAGTCAATGAGAATCGTTTTTTGAACTCTAAAATGTATTGTTTCTTTGAAATTCAATGTTATCAACATTGGCTCAAATAGGGGGAGGGGGGCTTGGGGGTCCAGTCCCCCCAAATGTCTGTCAAGTTCCTCCAGTTCAATATCTAGAAATTAGTACTAAATTGTATATTCTGTGGTACTAAGCAATATGCCCTATGGGGAGGGGACCTTGAATCCCCCCAAAAAATTTAGGCAATTTGCGCCTATGGTTATCAAACACTATACCTTGTGTCGTGAAAACTGAATTCAGATGATTTCTAAGCATATAGTTTCTGTATTGTGATTTGTGGCAGATTTATTTTGGTTAAAAGTTAATATTTTTGTGATAATATTTCAGTGTATCCATCATAAGAATTTTTAAACTAATCTTTATATTATTATGTTTTACTTGTATGGTATTTTTTCAATCGTTTTTTTTCTTGTAAAATAAATTTTTAATATCTATTATTAGGTGCTTACGTTACATTTTATCTCTGTAAGAAATTGGATATTTTCATGAATTTTGAGTATTTTAAATATTGTCATTGGGATAATAATTGAAAGTGTACCCTATTTAAATTCTTTGTATTTATTATACATTAACGTCATGAGTCATAACTCATAAGTATAGTCAATTAGGTATCTAACTCTCAAAGCATTTAATTACACTTGCACGCAACTTAATTCAAAAAGTGATCAAGTATCACGAAAAAATCCATAATACCAAAAATACATGTCTTTAAAATTTTATTTCACTATTCAGTGGCTTACCATTGCTAATTTATGTGGTTGCATTAGTTTTGATTATTATAGTTCTATAATTTATATTGTATTATGGTCATGCATTTTTATGGACGTGTTGTACGTCGAAATTGAGTAGTCTGTCTATCTACACTATATATTTGGAAGTGTATAACAAAAATCACAAACAAGACACAATATAATAATATAGGTACTTTGTACTTTGTCTGCTCTCAACCACGGTTCAGGAATTGAAAATAAATTGACAATCGGTGCAAGTAGGTATATTATAATTATTATAATTAAAATTATGATAAAATATAATATTTTGTGTTCTAGAAAATAATGAATCAGCAGCTCTACAATGTTACACGTTTTTGGTGATAGAAAACTTAAAGACTAGTGCTCGTCGTTATTATACCACATTTTTTTTTTTTTAACTATATTGTTACGATGTGTAACTATATATAATATTATAATAATATATGGATATCAATCGTGATGGTGTCGCTATTCACTGCTGAAAAGGCCGCTCAGAAGACCTGACCAACTCCGACCGCCGTTCTTCACCATCTGCCCCATTCTGTTGGCGGCGCTGGTGCCAAAATTCACTGCCGATTCGTTCATTTTGTGTAAGAACGCCACCATATTCTTGCCAGATTCCGCAGCCACTTCCGCTGAGTCCGAGTACGCCGAGGCCACGCGGTTTGCCATCGATCTTGCCCTGCTAGTCAGACCCCCGAAGATGCTTTCCATATAGGACGTATCAGGAACGTCCACCGAAATCGTCTGAGGATCGGGTGCAGCACGTCCGGCGCCGACCTGCGTGCGTGTAAAAATATCAAGACATATCCTGCCCGATTGTCATAATACTTAATTAATTATTATATCTAAGATTCCTGGCAATTTAAAACCATAAATTATGTCCCCCAAATCTCGTTCCAATGCTGCAATAAGTGTGTGATCTTAGAATATAATGGAAAATAGACGTTTGGATTATCGTCTTCGTTTCCACATCAATAAGTAGGTATACCTACACAGATTTAGGTTTACTTCAAACTCAACTGGCTCTCGTCCTATGAAAATGGTGTAAGTACATAGGAAGTAGTGAAAATTAACATTGAAAGGTCACGGCAGTGGTATTTCACACAGCGATAGTAAAAATCATAAATAATCATTTTTAAATAATAAAACAGCTTACATTATAGCAAATAATAAGGGTGATCTAAATGCGATGTGAAGACTGTACATATACTACATTGTCACATTGACTTATTTTGCCAACTAAGTTACTAGTTTGTACAATTATTTTTCATACTATGGACTATCGTTATGATATACATTTTTAAAATTTAATAATTAAAAATCAAACAAATTCAATAGATTTAACTAGTCCAAGTTTTTGATCTATGGTGATTGTATATTTAGGTAGGTACAACAGGAACGATTCCCCACATTTCCACAAACAATTATTTTTAATAGGTACTTTACTACCTAAATGGTATACTGTTATAACGTAATTTAGTTTTACCATTTTTTTCACGTATCTATTTGATTGTGTTATTTTACTTCATTACTGTGAATACTCGACAAGTTATCTATCCAAAGACGAGTTAAAAAACATATAAATAAAATTGAATTTTTAATAATCAAATTATCATTTATTTATACTGTTATGAGTTTACAAACTTTGGAATGATTATTTAGGGACTGGGCTAAAAAAACATTTTAAATGAACATACCTATAAATAAAAATAAAATTTTATTTAATTTAAACATATCGTTTTATACTAGGTGTAAGGTTCAGATTTAAATGCATTTGTTATTTTTTTTTTACAAGAATGAAGTAGAGTTTTAGTGTGATCATTCTATGTTTAAAATGTAAAATTATATGTTTTATATTATATATAGAAAATAATCAATAATAATTATGAGTTTGTTAACCCGTATTGTAAAATTAATAATATTGATGTACATATTAACTATAATCATATACATTATAATATACCTACCTACTATAATACATAAAATAATATACATATATAATGCATTTAGATATGTTTAATATACAAAGAAACATATTAGATTATTTAAAGTATCTATAATAATGTCTATAGTATTCTCATTAGGTACTCAAATTAAATAAAAACAACAATTTTATTCGTGTATTATTTTTATTATTATTATTATTATTATTATTATTATTACTATCTAACCGAATATTATAATATTTGTTGACTTTTAAATAATTATTTCTCGAGAATTATAACAATTAAGCTATTAAACTATTAATATTTAAGTACCTATTTATATTAATAAAAACAGAAAGTAAATTAAAGTTAAAGGAGATTAGTTACTAGTTAGTAAATAGGACTCCTATTATTCCTCCCTATATTAACATAACATTTACTGTAAAATCAATTGTCATAAAATCATTTAGATGTGAAAACTTTTATCAGAAATATTTTTTAACCATCTAAAATTTTAATTTTAATTTCAAAAACTTTAAAAAATAAACTAACGATCAATATAATTTGATTATTCAATCACCGTATAAACAATGATTAAATATATGTATACAATTATAATATAAACAATTATTAAATATATATATGTATACACTATAGTGTAGTGTATCTATTCTTATATCATAATTGTATAGTGACCATACAATTATGATATAAATAAATAATTATTTAAAAACAACAGCTAGTAAGTTCAAAAAAGCCAAACAAAAATCCTGATGATGATTATTAGTTTACATTAATAACCTTAGTATAATTACGTAACTAACTATTTTAGGATTAGTGTTATCTTTATAAATAATTTTTAATATTTTGCAAATATGTATTACTTTAGGTATAAACAAATTACGTACTTGGAATAAACAAGCAACCAATAAATAAACTATCATATGTTTAGTATAATATTGATTTAGACAAGTCATTTTGTATAAACTATTTTGATGTTACAACTTAATTTGACCAAGTGAAATTCAATGCGGAACTTGTACCGGAATATTCAGAGTGGTCGCTTTTATTCTGTGATAAAAAAACGGATATATGTAGAACAAAATAATATGATAAATGAATAAACACAAGTGTGTTTACTGAAAAATATTAAACGTCATACGTACCTACTTATTTTATAATGTGAAATGATCAATTAAGCAGTTTAATTGCGATTACAATTTACATTTCCAACCGTCTCAAAAACAAACAACTGTATATTCACTGTTCTAATGTACAACAGTATACCACTGTATTTTTATGACGACACATAATATATTATTTGATCACATATACGTATTCTTTATTTCTAATGTAGCAATCGCTTTAAAAAAATTAGGTAACTGTTCTATTGTAACAAACTATACAACAATGTATATCATTAGTTACACTACGAGTGTCTTATAAATTATAATGTTTCATCAATTTTGCTTTTTAGAACTATTGAGAAGTAAATAAACAATTTTTGTTAAAACATATTGTATTATTATATAATATATATATATTAATTCGAAAACATTCTTACATAACATACACTTAGTAGGTGATTTATTTGTATAATACAAGTATATATTATAATATTGTATTAAATTGTTATTTTCGGAAGGATACTTGCCTTGGGATATTTCAAAATGGTCCTTAATACTTGTTTTGAGCCACATCACTAAGAAAATATGATTATTTTAACACTTGAAAGTTGCAAATTGTTTTTCAATTACCCTAAACTGTAAGAATGCAATATTCTCATTCAGAATATTACACTGCGACATACTATTACGCTAAAACGTTCTTCAACAAAAACAACATTTTTTAGTTGTAAATGATTTATGCCCTGATGAACAATAGTTATATTTAAATTTTAACCTGTTAAGAATTGTTTGTACTTAAAAAACTCTACTTTTAGTAAATATAATTTTTGTTAGGTATTGTAATGATGGTTAATGGTTTCATATTATTTGAACAATTATAGAAATTGCTAATAATTAAAACTTCCAGTGTAAATTACAAATCTTGAGTTTGCGGAAAAGGAAACAATTTGAGTTATGGTTGTTAGTTAATGGCATTATGGATACGTGGTGTGAACCAAAAAAATCAATTAAAATATTTTGTTACCTCAGTTTATTTTTTGTAAGAAAATATTTAAATTAAATTAATTGACAGGTTAATTGACTGTTTTTTTTAAATTAGAAAAACGAATTGGTAAAATATATTAATTTGATAGCGAATTAATTATTAATTATCTTTTCTGCAAAACATGACCTTTGGAGAATTTTTTCTTATAGATAAATTTAAAATATAGACTTAAGGTTGGTTTGCAAACAATATTATGTGGTCTGGTATAATAATTTCACTTTATTAATAACCAAATTATTATTATTTGATATTACCACATTTGGAACGAATAACACTGTAAATGGTTAAAAATTATTTTCACTTATGTATATTGGTGAAATTGTTTTTTACAAATTTAAAACCAAAACATTTTTAAAACATTGAACAATTTAAGTCTTCAAAATATTGTGGTTTGATTAAGCTTCGAATTATTTTTCCAAACTATTCCTGCATCCTTTGATCAATATTGAGATGCAGCATAGGTATATATGTTCTATCTTTTGTATGCCAAATGCATTGTAAAGTATTTTTGCGTCTGTTATTGTAATCGAATGCTTTCTTATAGAGATCACGGCATCATAATCATAAAGTAACATAATTTATCTTAAATTGTTGAATACAGTTTGGCAACAATTAATTAACCAATATTGAATAAACAATTTTTACACACCCTGAAAACATGGCCTTAATTGTAGTATGAAACAAACATTTTTAAATTTAATCATACAATTTTTATTAATCTACCTAAGATTATCTATAGTATCTTACACCTTGAATTCTATATAACTCGTATTATGTTTTTACGTGTTTGAGCCTTCTATCCAATTTACCCTTTTTAAAAAGAATGGAAATATATAAGTCAACATTTCAAACTACTCGGCCAGGGTTTCTGCTTATAATTTTGTTCAGCTATAATAAGTTGGTAGTAATATATTACATTAGGATTATGTTTTTAGTTAATTATTTTATTTTAATTTTGTTTAATAGCTTTAAATATTTATTATGTCTAAATTTTATCCCAAAATATGCACATTTTTCAAATTAGGAACAAAGTATATAAATGTAGGTGTTTGGTATAATTTCTAGCAATAAATAAATTCAATCTTTTAAAAAGTGTTAATTCATTATAATTGTCATTCTAACCGATTTCCTGGAACAATTAAATAATATTTAGGCAATGTTCTGATGTTACGTTTACATGAGTTATACCATAATATTATTAATTGATTAATATCGTTAGTGCCATACAATTATGTTTCTAAGTTTCTTACTATGCCACCATTATTATGGTTGCAGGGATTTGAATAATTATTGTATTTGTTGATTTTAAACTATATTATAATGTAGATCTTGGTTTAAGATTGTGAACTTTATTAATTTAATTTGATATTAATAAATAATAATATTATGTTATTTGTAATTATTATAAAATATGCGTACCTAACAGGTGATAGTGTAATAAAAATGTAGACATTTTTTTTATTGACAGCTTCCGTCCTTCCACCCATCCCTCCATCGCTCGTTAACCTGGTTACAATCAAATAATGGCTTACCAAGTTTTTGATTAACGTGGTTATGTACACGGCATAGCCAATTCGATAGGGATTGTTGAGAATCTGTTTCAGGTGGTTGACTGGTTAAACTGTTGAAAAAAAAATTTATAATTGCACATTTTGGGCATGTTTATACTAACATTGACTTATAGCCATATGAACGAATATTAAACATGCACATCAAACTATACTCAGTCTTGTAAAATATACTTTTTAAAATTATTCAAGTAAAGATACAAATATTTAGTTTGAAAAGTATTTAAATACGCAGTAATAAATAAATTATGGAGTATTTATATAGACTTTAAAATTTTGTTTTTCACTATAAATATGCATCCACTTTCATGTTTTACGTTTATTTTGTACAGAATTTTACTCTTTTTGGTGTAACTTTAAATTAGTAATTTATCCTATGTAAATGTATTTAAATTTTCTGTTGAGTATGAATGTATGATGCAAAATAATTCATTAGATACGACTTTAATATTATATTCTCAATATTTTTTTTTTTTTTTTTATGTAATTAAAATGTAAAAAGAATATAATATACGCACTAAAAATAAAAAAATATTAGATTCTAAATACAGATACTTTGAGAAAGTATTTAATATACTTTGTCCAAGTACTATTTTTAAATGTATTTAAAATACGAATTTAATAGGTATTTAAGTGATTATTTGAATACTTTTAATTTAATGCTTTACAACACTTACTGTACTCGTACTTGAAATAAAGTATAAATGTACCTAACTAATTACTTACAGTAATGTGAAATCTCTTGCACATGTTTCACAAGGATAAAGACGGCCAATTAATCTAAAAAAATTGTCCATATCTTTCCGCTGTTGGTGCGAAGGGTCATCTGGATAGTACGCCACCATCGAGTGAAGAAGACTCCAGGTATGATATCCTATACGTTTAGAATATATTAAGTATAGGTTATAAGTCTACGAGATTTGTATTTCACGACGCTGAAATCCAGGTTTATTTTGCATAAACAATTAACAAAAAACTAAATTAGTTGAATTAAAACGCGTGAAGTGTAAATTGAAAATTAAAGTCTTACTATATTTTTATTTTATATGTATAAAGAAGAGACAAATGTATTTAGTACATTTTTAGCTAAACTTAGTAGTATGACTTCACAAAGATTAAAAGTAAGTTAACGATAATGTCATTATTATAATATCTTTAATCTTAATTTATAGCTAAATGATAATATATGAAAATTATTCAATATTTAAGATATATTTAATTAAAAACAAGATTTTCAAGAATGATCTCCTATTAGTACTTTAAAAAAATTATGACACATTACAGGTTTTTTTGACAGATATATTTTTTTTATTGTTATAAATACTGAGGACTTTTTTCATATTTTTCTATAAAAATCACAAAACAATTTGAGTGATCTATAAATGTGTCTTATAATACTTGGAAGCTATATTTAAAATTGTATTGAGTATATTATTTTGCATTATCTACTGTATAATATAAATACATATTTCAGCAGATTAGAAAAATGGAGAACATGTTTTACAACTCTTCGATATAGCAAATTGAGCATCTAATGAGTTGGGGTCAAATAATAAAAATTGTCATTATAAAAAGATAATTTCACTTTGCGAGATTATTTATCTATTCTGTTTATTCGTTTATTATAGATATTTATATACAATTGTATAAATAACATTTTTGTATATCATTATTTTATTGTATACACATATTATAATTTGTATCATGTTATTATTTCTTATTTTTTTAAGTGCATAGGTACCTATTTTAAGATCATTTTAAGTACTAGAAGTTGGTTGATTGGACTTAGTTGGTAACCATATTTTATACTAGTTAGTCTATATATAATAATATATTATGAAGGGACGATTAAAAAAAGGTACCTACCTAATGTTTGAGTTTTACTTAGTTCCATCAAAAGAAAGCGATAACAGTTATATTGTGTTAAGCATTAGTGATCTATCCTTATGTATGGAAAAATGTATTTATACAACTTAAATAAAATTGTACATAATGTGATAATTCGACTTACCTAATTGTGTTTTATCCAATGGACAGTCTTCCATATAATTGTTGTAAATTTTTTAAATTTTGAATTGTTTAAAATCGTAAACACGGGTATCACTATAGGCAACAAACAGAACTCGTTCATCAAATCTACTTTTTGAGTAATCTTACCTGATAATGGTACCTAATAAAGATTTCATGACAAACGATTTCATTATAACTTTTCTTTATCATAAAAAGGCAACCTTTAAACCATATTTTAATACCTAATAATAATTATTTGATGAAATACCTTGGAAATATGGGCTACCTATTATTTATAGTTTTGTCTATAATTGAAAAGCGAAGTAAATAAACAATATAAATGTTTTTTTTTTTTTTTTTGTCACACTGTTTTGTTTCTAATGAAATTATATTTATTCTTTGAGAGTTAATGATATAGTATAATAAATTTCTGACTTCAACTGACTTTGCTTCATGTTACCTAAATTCTTAGCACATTTTGTGTTATTGTATTACACAGATACTATTTTATTGATAATTTTGTAATGATTAATACGAATTGAATAGTATTTATTAATATAATAAAGACTATTAAATTATGTTATAGACTATAGTCTATAAACATGTGTAAAAAAAGTAAAAAAAAAAGTAACTGCACGACGGCGTGTGTATAATATATCAAAGCAGGAGTTGCCTATTTTTACTGTGTAAAATACAGATAAATTTATTATATGACTTAACTAATTTTCTAATGGATCAATTAACTAATAGTAAACTACAAAACATCAGAAATATTATGTAAAACGTGCTTTTTTAAAAATAATTAAAATCGTAAGTTTAGAAATTGAGTTATAAATGAAAAAGTGCGAACTTTTTAATTGAAATTTATATTAAATTCAGAATCACGGTAGCCGTCATCGTCGTCGCAGTCGTCATCGCATCAGCGTTGCCAATGTTACCAACAATATAACCGTTCTTATAGATTATTGTGTAAATACTCAATATTTAATAACGATAAAAATTAGTGATATCACAAGAAAAGCCCTTTGTAAACTACTTGTAAAAATGGCTAAGTAAAAAAATATGTAAGATATTTAAGCACTATAAAGATGTGGTATCATGAATAAATGCTAAGTATATTGAATTTAAGTAAACTTCTTTTATTTCAATAATTTATTTACTCGGCGAGGAATTATTTAGAATAGTATTTAAATATTAATAATAATATTTTTAAAATAATAATAAGTTATATTTTAATAGTCCTTCGCCATTTAATTATTTTGTTCATCACGCTTTGTTTCTTTTAAGAAATAATTATCCCCCAAGCTAGAGGGTATCCACACTGGTGGGCCTCCCTCCTCAAGCCATTCATGTTGTTGTATTCTTTCATTACCAAATTTACTCATTGTATATATAAAATTACAGATTGTAAATATTCTATTTTATCTAATAAAAATAAAAAAAAAAAAATAAAAAAGAAATAATTCCTCGCCAAGTAAATAAATTATTGAAACAAAATAAGTTTATTTAAATTCAATATACTTAGCATTTATTTATGATATCACACATTTGTAGTGCTTAAAGATCTTATATATTTTTTATTTAGCCATTTTTACACGTAGTTTACGAAGGGGTTTTCTTGTGATTATATAATATGAAACATTTTAGTAGTCAATCCAAATTACTTAGCAAACTAGATATTGAAAAATATATTTATTTTATTCTTATTAATAAAATAATAATATGTCTAGTGGTTTTCTTAATTGCATGCAATAAATAGGGTAGTACGTACTCTTAAAAATTTAGTACGTATTCTTAAGAAATATGCGAATATAAAATAAGGATTTAAATTGATTCTAACATTTGTATATTTTTCTTACGATCGTACGTTTCGTATTAACTAACTACTACTTAATGAATTGCAATTTTTCTTGAAATTGAAATTATGTACTAATAGATTTCATGAAAATAATGTATTAGATTCTGAGTGGAGCTGACGAATGTGTTGTATTTACAACGATTTGTGATCATTTTTGTACAAAATCCTTTTTTTTTGAAAAAATTAAGTTTATTTCTTGGCAACTCAAAAACTAATAATTGTATACTTTTGAAATGTTCACCAAATATTTATATTATAATTTTCAATGAATAGAAACATACTTCGAAATATTTAGACTTTCTTGCTAGTTATAGTATTGAGAAATTTGTAAATTTTATTAAAATTACTCTCGATAAATACTTTTTCACTTAGTAAAAAAGTTGGAAAATGTAATACAAGGTTCCTTATAAGTTTTATTAACGTTAGTTCAAAAATATTAGAAATACATAGGAATCATTATTTTTTATATGCATTCAAAGTTCAAATGTTTATAAAATTCATCAAAATTTTCAAACTATTTTTGAGTTAGAAATTCATAAATGTTTTTCTTTCCATAGCTAACATTAGACATTTTGATATAAGACAAATGTTCCTACCATAAACAAAATAAAAGTTTACAGGAAAGTAACATTATATTTTTAAAAATTTGTAATTTATTTTTTAGTTGGAAATTAATAAAAGTTTTAATTTCATAGTTAAGATTATAAATGTTTATAGAAGATTTCACTTACATTTATAAAAACTTCACTTTACTTTAAAAAAAAGTTTACTTAAACAGAAAATTAATTTCTTATGAGCTTTTGAATTTATAATTTTTACGAAATATTGATATTCAGTGCTAAAATATTAATCAATTTTTGATATTTTGTTGTATTTCCAAAACAAATAACCTTGAAATGTTTAACAACTATAGTAGTAGCATTTTAGCAACATATAAGCATTTTCCACAAATGGTACATTTTTCAAACTATCTTGACTCTTTTTGAGTTATTTATAGCCATAATAATTTTTTAAAATGTTGTAAATTATTTTTCAGTTAGAAATTCATAAAAGTTTTCTTTTTTTAGCCAACATAAGAAATTTCAATAGAAGGTTTCCAACAAGTTTTACACAACATCTCCGCTCAGAATCGTTCTTCGTATACAATGATTTATCATTGAATTAAAATATAACACTTCCATTACAACAACATGCTCGACAGCTAAAGTACAGCAGAGAGGTACCCACTTGTCCACCTTTTTATTTATTTATTCATTATTATTAAAAAAGAGAAATTTAACCACTTAATAAAAAAATAAATAAATAATGGAATATCATGGTAATACACAATGAAAATAAACGAATAATTGTTAAGTTTAAAACTATCGTCTATATACATGATAATACATACAACAAAATTTTGAACACAAAAAAGAAAAGAAGAACATGTTTAGGAACACTTAAATTTTAATTATATTATGATAGCATATACTCATCATATTGAGAACATATTTTATTGTTAAAAAAAAGAATAATACGGACAAACAAACGAACCGTCAACATTGCAAAAATAGAGGGCCATTTCCAAAGAAATACAATTTGTATATGGTGTCAACAGTTAAGTAGGATATTGGTGGGAGAAAATAGCTCCTGAACAATAAAGAATGTATCATAATTGTTCAAATTAATAATTCAAAAGAAGTTAAAGAGATGTCAAAACCGGATGTTTTGTTTCCGTTTTACAAACGTACAGCATAACAAATTTGCGTTAATCCGAAGAAATGCAGTGTTGTTAGTTTCATAGCTATTAGTAAAGTAAATTGACTGATCGTCAAAGTTGAAGGTAAGTATACTATGTAAGGAACTGCAAAATTTTTTATTCGTATTTTAGTTTTAAAGTGAGTCATAGTAGGTAAAATATTAAAACGTTCATAACTATAGCATTACATTTTAAGTAGATATCAATAAAAATTAAAAGGCTATGATTTGTCCTTTATAATATATTATTATCTTTAAATTAAATAGTTAATTAGTCAATATTAAATTTGATAATAAAAAATTGCTACTGTTCAATACAGATTTCTTATGTTCTACATTTGTAAGACGGAAAGATTACAATAAAAGAGTTCAGAGTCTAATTAATACTATTTAAAGTAATTCAATTGTAAATAGGTACACCGGAGTCGAAAGGTTGTCAGAGCTGAGATATTTTTAGTACAAATAAAGTTACATGAAAAACTCTCAAGTCCGTGAAATTGTCAGTTATATATTATAATACATTTGATATATTTCTATTTTTTTTATTTGGGAACTCGAGAGTCAAAACCTTATGTAGACAGTATTGGTTTCTAATTTTAAAAACTATATTTTAAGAAGTTAATAAACGTCTATATATCACAATTGATTGAGTAATGTGGAATGCTTTTTTTGTTTAAATGTACACTTTTAATGTTCAAACTTAAACAAATTAGAGTCTAACCAGAATAAAGTTATCTCATCCACATGAAAAAAATAAATACCTAATCAAAATCCGACTATTCTATTAGGCGTGATAATTTTTCGTGTAAATTCGTTTTTGATCGTTAACATCTTTTGATTTGATTTTTTCGTAGTGTCTATTGTATGGCTTTCGTATCACATAACTAGAAATTGCCTACATTTTTACCCTTTATTAAAATATAGCCTACTCCGACATGTTTGACACCCTTAAGGAATACCTACGCATCAATGATTATATTATATATTATAGTTTTGTATTTTTATAGTACTAGCTTGAAGTAGTGTACGGTTTTTGTCGAATTTGAATGTGACAAAGTGACAACTCGGTTACGAAAGAAAATGGTATGGTGGACAATGATAAAATTATAAAAACGTGGTACTGTGTGGTCGCTATGATTGGACCGGAGGTGTCGCCGCTGGTGCAGCTTCGGCAGTGGTCGCTTGGGCGTCTTCGTTAGTTGTTGGTGTTGCGGCGGCGGCGGCGGCGGCGGCGGTCGTGTCAGTCGATTTGCCATCTGCACCACCCTCGGACTCAGGATGGTAGTTGTCCAGGCCTTTATCCAACGTATCAATTAGCTTCTCACGATTCTCGATTATGAATTCTGAGTTTATGCGGTTCGTGGTGGCCAGGCCGGTGGCTAGTGTGGCCGCTCCACCAGTCACGTCGCGCACTAGTACGATGCTTCCAGCAGCGTTGTTCACTAAATTTACGCCAGTGGCCACCGTGTCCCCAGTGGTCGCGGTTATCTTGAGTAGACCATTAAACACGCCAACCAAGGCGCCCATCACGCTTAATGCGGCCTGTCCAAAACCCTTCAGAAACATACCAGCGCCCCTGCGAATGGTCGTTAGCGACTTATACACCTCCTCTTTACACTTGGAGAACGTCGATGGTTTTCCATCATCGGCCGGAGGTGGTTGATCAGTGGTCGCGGTGGCTGGATCAGTGGTTGCGGTGGTTGAATCGGTGGCTGGGGTGGTTGAATCGGCGGCTGGAGCGGTTGAATCGGCGACTGGGGCGGTTTTGTCGGCGGTTTCGGCCGCATCAGAGATCGGCATCACACCATCGTCAGACGAACAGCGATCAATCTGCAATGGAGAAATATGAATATTATACCGTTCGAAAAATTTGTCAAGCTTCATTCCGGGGTACACGCGCGTGGGTAAGACACTAAAGAGATCGGTTCTAGAGCTGTATAAAGTACAAACTGCCGACTCCTCATACTTTAAGAAACTAAAACTAATCGAAGTTTGACCAAAACTTAGTTTGAAATCTTATTCAAATATATCAAACAGCTTAAATTGGTTGACACTCATACTCTACAGGTTATCATTTATTATTTTTTGCGGTGTACCTATGATGTTAATACTTTTTATTTTTTTTCAATATGCAACTACAGTTATAGAATCTAGTAGTTTGATACTTTTATAAGCTAAATGTGAAACTAAACTTTTGAAAGTTCAAAAAAAGTTCGATATATAGCCAATCTCAAATACCTATAAACAGTTGAAGAAAAAAATTAATCTTTTTTTCCCGAAAATTTAAGTTTGAAACATCCAAGTTTTATCTATATAAATGCAAGAAATTAATAAAACTGATTAGGAGACAACTACAAAGAATTACTTCGAAAATTGTTTTGTCTCAGTACTATACTGAGCACTTTTATGTTTCTAGGTGCGATTATAATTAAATCTACACTATCTTTATATCCATACTAGCTTAGTCCATACATTAATTAGCTTTCAGAGTTCAAATATAATATAATGTCTAAAAGTAGAGCAACGATGTTATATTATTATATTATTCCGTATTCAGAACTAACCAATAATTTGAATTTTTAATATTGATATTCCTATAAATTGTACATTTATTAAATTATTACAAAATTAATTATTTTCATAAATTATGAGTTATACATTTATTTACAAAATTAAAAATCTAACATAACGGTAATTTTATTGTGCAATTGGTTAAAAAAAACTCCATGAAACGCACTAATAGGCAACACAAATAACAGCAGATATTTAATATATTATAACTTATCACTTTTCATTGCAGTACTTAGTTAAGAATAGTCAAATCAATTGACTTACATAGTTCATGTTTAGAAGTTACATAAAGTAAATTAATTATAATTGTTGGCAATGTGTATTTCTACAATTAGTTATTTATTGTATTAGGCATTTAGGTTTCCATTAAATTATGTCATACATTTCGGAATTGTTATCTTTTGCCCTTTTTTACACCTGGTTTTTAGCTAACTATTTTTTATTCATCTGGTTAATCAAAGACATAGAATATAAACGTTTAAGTTTAACTTGTTAGATAATACTCATATCCATGGATAGTTCTTATATAAATGCATTTTTTGTTTGTTTCACATTGTGTTTTATCAGGGCTTGATATCGAATTTAAATTGAGGGGGATACGCCCAGCACTTTTGAGTACTTGCATTTTACCATCCACCACTTTTGGGGATTGTCACTTTACCGCCCTGTACTCGCTTTCCAACGTCTCAACCGTCATAAAAAACGAAACTTCCGGTGCAGGGGTGACAAAAAATCAATACACCTATTTCTTAAACAATTAAATCAGAAATAACTATAATATCAATAATCAAAATTGAAATTAAAATTTAATTTCGATTTAAATCCTTAGTTTTTATATAATGCAATAATAATCTCTTTCTCTTATATTATATAGGTATTATTGTTATTATTATTATACTTCTAAGTTCTGATACTTCTGATTTGGTGACTTATAGTTTATACTATCGCTTGAGAAAAGTGTACGATTTTAAAATAAAGATACTATTATTGTCACGTGTTATCTGCATTCTATTTTAATCTGAACCTAAGATAACTGATATTTAAGAAGAGAGTAGTAAATATAAGTGTAATTGTGTACCTAATCTAATTAGTGATATTATGTAAATACATGTTTAACTAAAATCTCGTTCATATGCACTTTTAACCTTTCTCAAACATATTAAAGTATATATAATATTGCACTATGGGTATGGTACTAAAGCCATCTTAATACAGTGAACTTAAACGAGAAACTTATGGGACTCTGTTTTAACTAGGTTAGTGGTGTCCAAAATAAAATTATTGTTATGAACTAAAGGATTTAACCAAACATATTACTTCGAACTTAAATGTATTTGTTTCACAATACAAATTACGACTTTTACCTTGGTAAGACGTAAACATGTTGTCGTACGATTTTAAGAATTTTTAATAGTTAACTGACAATAATGAATGTAAATACGGGACCGAATAGTGTCAGACACAAAAGCATCTCAGGTTCAAAAATTTAGGGTACTACAATATTGTTAACAAGGGCGTTGATGAATTGTAGACCAATAAAGGACACAGAAACACCATATAAAAAGGGGCCCGTAGTACAGAATAGGCAATGTACTATAGCCATTGAGGTCCATGCACCTCGTAACTATTGTTCTATTTAACTTATGTTTTATTCAAAAAATAACTGTTTTATTTAAACTTATGTGAATTGTTTCAAATTAATTAATTCACTTTAATATACTACTCAATAACTAGATTGCAGGCAGAGCCACACGCAACATGATATATAGAACACAAAACTGTTTTACAGAGGAATATAGTGTTTCTTTTTTATTCATCTAAGTACACAAAATACAACTCTTTAGAAATAAAATGTCATACAAATAGCTGATTTATTTTTTAATTACTATAATACATAAATTATTACAAATATAATAAACTATACATACACATTTTAAAATACCTTGTATTAGGCAGTAGAAACTATAAATATAATTGATAGGATTATAACATGTAAATTATATATACTTCGTAATTAGTAATGTATACATTCTTATTATTCTAATATAGGTACAATTAAAACAATATACACAATTACCTCTGCACCTCATCCATTATAATATATTACCTATTATCTTATTTCTTTTGCTGTAAAATATAATACAAATTACAACGTTCCTACTATTGAAGCAGTTCTCAAACTTTTTTGTTCACACAGCCCACAAGTTGCTAAACAAATCTAGGAAGCCCCAAAAATTAGGAATATAAATTTAAAAAAAATATTATAATAAATCATAATGATTATTTTAATGCAACTAGGTAATAATATTGAATTTGGATGTGCGGCCGTCCTAGATTGAGATTTCTCAAGACAGTTTAAAAAACCACCGTATATAATATTGTATGAATTAGGTATTATTTGATCATACATTAATTATAACTATATACATTAAACATTTTGTTATTTCACTAGACTAGTTAAAAATTTGTAGGTAACAAATATGTGCATTCTAACTTACAGTCAGTACCGTAGACATAATTTCTGAAGGGGGGGGGGGGGTCAAAAAAAGAAAATGACATAGCTAAATGGGAGGGGAAAATTAAAAAATCAACCACTCTCTCAAAACTTTTTACTCGGGTAATAAAAATTCAATGAGGCGGAGATCTGACCCTACATCCCCCCTTGTTTACGCCACTGCTTACAGTTATATATAAATATATATCATTCGAAAAAATTGGTCTTAGCATCAATGGATCCGACAATGACCACCATTGTTTATTGATTTAATATTTATACACATTTAATATAAACATAATACAAGTTGAGTTATTATTTTTCACCAAGATGGAATTTGTGTAATTTTATCTATAGTTTTAATAATATACCTAACATATAGACCTAGTATAGGTCTATATGTTGTGACTTACAAAGGTAAATTTTTTCGTGCTTGGCCATTTTATTTTTTTTCTATCTTCCCTGTTTATCTGATAACCTGATAACATATTAGGTACACACCCAAAAATATCCCTTCTCGTATAACTTAAAGACCATAACCTTATCAGTACTTTATCGATGATATTTTTCGGTATGTTATAATATATTATAGTAAAAATAACAATAACTCTTTATAATAATATATTCATTTTCATGTTATAGGTACTCATTTTTAATTAAAATATCTTCAGAGAGTGTGGATAACGTTATCACCGATAGCTAGCTGGTTTGGTTCCATCAAAATTTAAAGTGATGATTATTGTAAAAATGTAAAATATGTTAAACGTAACATTTAATTGTTTTAGAATGGTGTGAGTGAGCTGAAGAGGATTATTTAGGTTTTTATCTTGTGGGAGGGGGGGCAGTGGCGGATCTAGGGATTAATTTTGGGGGTGGCATAAAGATGGCAAAAGTGCAAAAAGTACATAGATTACAGGGACCGAGTACCCTAAATTAATTTCACAGATATCAATGATAACATTACCTAAGCGTATAAAAATCCTTATATACATTTTGTGTGGAAAGCTTTGGGTGATAGACAATTTTGGTAAGGTACCTTATATGTAGGAACTTAACACTCCTTTCATAGTTTCTCGGAAATCAATTCCAGAATACCATTTTTGTAAGTTGTCGTGATTAGTCAAATAAAGGTATTTATAACATAGGAGTTTTAATATAACTTATTAAGATGCACTACATGTATAAAACATTTAAATAAATCCGAGTTAAAAGTATGTACATAGGTACCTGTTTGGTAATAATTAGTGACCCGAAGAATCGTGTGATGAAATGTAATAATACGACTGTGATATATGAATTATGTACGTGCTGAGGAACACAATTTTCAGATAATAATCAGAAGTGATTAGTGTAGCCCTACAATTTTGTTTTCCAAGTCAAGCACTGAAGTTGAGTAGGTGTGTCGTGCACGAGAAAGACATCTGACGTCTATGACATATTATGTAACGCATGCGCGTGCAGAGTTGGCCTTTCGATGTTGTTGAATATTACGCGTTAGGTTGGGCACGTGTGACAGTGTTACCCGAGTGGAAAAAACGAGACAGGGCCTTGCTGGTCAGTCGCCGTGGTCGCTTGTGCCGGAGCGCCTGTCTCGCCCTTGTCCGGCCGCAGACGGGCGCCGCTCTCGTTCAGCTTGGCGTTGAGCGCGGCGAGCGCCTGACCCCGGACCAGCGAGTCGTGAGCCACGTTGCTGGCCACCGCGTTCACCGCTACGCCGACCACCTCGTGGACGCCGGAAGCGCCGAACCCGATCACCGGGACGTGGGCCAACCGTTGGGCCACCGAGCCGCACGCCACGCCGCCGGCCTTGAGCAGCTGGACAGTGGCGTTCAGGGCCGCGTCCCACACGTAGTTGACAGACTCGCCAGCCGACAGCAGCATTTTGCCAAAGCTCCATAGCACTTTGTCCGACACCCGGGCCGTGTCCCGTACCAGTGCTGCGGCCGCACGCTGCGCGGCCTCCAGCATCCGAAATGGTTGCGCCGACGAGGTTCCTGGAGGAGGTGGAACTGGTTCCGTCTCGAAGAATTCCCGTTTTTCCATCGGCGTAGCGCTGCCGACCTTGATAAAACAGACATATAAAACAAAACCACAGAACAACATGGAACACGCACGGCATCGCGAACACTATTATAATATGGACACAACTGCAGCTGGTCATCCAAGTCGAGGGCTAAGTGGCGCGTAAATGCATTATAATAATATTATTATATATTATTATGTTGGAAAATGTTATAATATGATCAAAACATTAACCTTGCATGAAAATGTCAAGTCTAAACATACCACAGGACATGAGTTTAATTGAAAGAAACTTAAAACAAAACAACAACAAAATCTTCAAATAATAATATACAATTAATGTACTGTTAATTAGTAATTACCCAAGTATAATAAAATTCACAAAAATATTGATGTCTACTATGGTTTTTCAGATCTCTTAAATTTCTACAACAAGTCTAATAATATATATGATTTCCAATATATTATATTTTTAGTTGTTAAAAAAAACCGTTTTAAAATGGTATTAAAATTTTTTTTCTTATTTGTGAAATAATAGATTCAATTTCACCAACATTTTAAAAACCATTACGAATGATTTTTGAAGTGTTAAGTTGGTTAATATTAACCATAAGATAAATTTTATAAATTATATTTTATCAACAAAATATTTTTTTGACAGTTTTAATTAGGTAAGTAGTATGGTTTTTTGTCAGTGAAATTAAAAAACACATCGAATTCACTTACAATAATCGACATTTATAACACATTATAGTATTATTAACATAATACGAGTCTGAAATAAAGTTAAAAGAAGTTAAATGTTATAAAAATAACAATTACTTCTTAGTTCTTGAAAAAAAAATGTTTCCATGTTTAACAGAGCAAGAAAACTGACTTAATAATCTTTAAATACCTAATGTAAAGAAGTATTTAAAAAAATATAAATGATTATTGGACAAAATTAATTTTTAAACTCCTAGTACCAATATAATTTATTATATTAAAATAAAAACTATAATATATATTTAATTTCTAGCTCAAAATATATATATTTTTTTTAAACATACAACAAATTATAAATTTATTAAATGATTAACAAGATAACAAAATGCATTCAAATTGAAAATATATTATATAAATGGATTGAAATATAATAAAAATGTATCATAAAAAAATGTATTATTTCTCAAAAGTTAAGACGACAATAAGTACTTAAAATTAATAAACTATAAACATTTTTAAATATATGTATACACCAATAGACGATAGCCCAATAGTGTTTGAAATATTAAAATATATTTTCAAACTATTTATGTTTTAATCAGAAATTTAACTATTCAGTTTTTAATGGCTTCTATAAAATTAAAAATATGGAGATACCCAGTTACTTCACTGAACCTTTTATTATTTATTATAATATTGTTTTGATAAAACCTACTACAACGTACGTTTTTAGTACCTACCTGTAACTGTAATTCATTTTTTCGAATAAAACAAGTGGGATGGAAAATTAAAATAAAAAAATGTGAAGCCCACATCGATCACTTGCAGTTAATTATCATTATGATAGTACAGTGAAACCTGACTTAACGGACACCTGTATATAACGGACACCTCTCTTAACGGACAAAATGACCAGGTCCCGGCAAAAAGATAGGCATTCTAATGTATTTTGACCTGTCTATAACGGACTCCTTCTATTACGGACACGGACACTAATATTTAATCCAAAAATTTCATAACGGACAAAAATACATACATACATACACACACACACAGTTGAGGTAATGCACGATCTAATGCACCTATATATTATATCGATAAAACGTTTTCCGGCTCGACAAAAGGACGTGTCGGCGTTATTGAAACAGCGTCGATAAGGAACGCAATTGAACGCAGTGAAAACACGACCAATTACATTATCGCCGATTACGATAACGCTAATTGTGTACCTATTGAATTTATAAAGTCCAAGATATCCAGATATAAATTGCAATACGTATAAATGATGACCATGAGTATCAAACGTTTTTATTCAGTTTCTATCGGTTCGCAATCAGAGTTGTACATTTTTTCCTTAGCAATGCCACCTCCCGTGCCGCGTAAAGCTTTAAATTTAAAACAAAAGGTGGATATTATTCGTTTTAAAGACTCTAACGGAGGTTGGTCTATTCGTAAACTTGCTGACAAATTTGGCATTGGTAAAACGCAAGTGGCCGAAGTTTTAAAGAATAAAGAAGATATTTTACGTCGATACAACGAAAATTCCACAAACGAAAAATCTCGCCGATTCCAGAGGAACGGGCCAGGTGAATTGATTGATAAAATTGTTTTAGAGTGGTTTAACCGTGTAAGAAATAAAAATGTGCCTGTATCTGGACCAATCATTCAAGCAAAAGCATTAGAAGTTGCCCGTGAAATCGAGTGTGATGATTTCAAAGCTTCCAATGGCTGGTTAGAGAGCTTCAAGGTAAGGCATAATATAGTTTTTAAATCGATTTGCGGAGAATCAGCTTCTACAAATCTAACAATTGTTAATGAATGGAAATCGAAAATTTCGGAAATAGTGACAGGGTATGAGCCACAAAACATATTCAATGCTGATGAAACTGGTCTGTTTTACCGAGCATTACCAGACAAAACGTTTTCTTACAAAGGGGAATCATGCTCTGGTGGAAAAATAGCTAAGGAACGTTTAACTGTTCTTCTATGTGTCAGTATGTCCGGAGAAAAACTTAAACCACTCGTCATTGGAAAATCTGTCAAACCAAGATGTTTTAAAGGAATTGATGTTAGTAAACTGGCAGTAGAATGGAAGGCGAATAGTAAAGCATGGATGACTACTCATATAATGACAGACTGGCTTCAACGACTCGATCAGCAAATGAAAACTCAAAACAGAAAAATTTTATTGTTTCTTGACAATGCGACATCACATGCACATCTATCTTTGGACAACGTAACACTTATTTTTTTTCCTCCAAATATAACATCAACTTCTCAACCTTTAGACCAAGGAATAATAAAAAATTTCAAAGTTTTTTACCGCAAGTTCGCACTACAACACATTATTGCGAATCTGGAGGACGCTCAAAATGCACACGACCTGGCAAAGCAAATTGATGTTTTAAAAGCGATTACATGGGTGAAAAAAGCGTGGACACAAATTTCTTCATTAACAATCACAAATTGTTTCAAAAAAGCAGATTTTCCGTCCAGTGAACCTCCAGAAATCGAAAATGAAGTGAATGGGAATGAGTTGATTGAATTAATGGAGCTTCTTCCGTTGCCTAGAAACGACGATTTTGCCACAATAGACAGTAATTTGTCTACAGAATGTAGCTCAGATGATATAGCTATAATTTTAGATGACATTCGAACTGAATTCGTGGAATCCGTGGAATCCGATGATGAGCAACAAGCTGAAAATTCAGAAAATTCTGAAATTAAGACGTTTTCAAATTATTCAGAAGCTCTTGAACAACTCATTCGTCTGAAAGAATTTTATTTAAATAAAGGTGATGAAAAGGGATTTTCATATGTGAGCGAATTAATTATCCATCACGAGTTGGAAATGACCAAATCGAAGTTCAAAAAACAAACATCAATTGAATCATTTTTTAAGAAATAATTAATAAATTTATACAAATACATACATACATAATTGTACATATAATAAATAATTAAAATAATAATAATTATACATAATACATATTAATAAAGATTATACTTAATACATATTATAAAATATAAAACAATACAAATGTACGTAAAAATTTTAATTTTTAAAACATTGAAACCTGTCTACAACGGACACCTGTCTATAACGGACAATTATTTTGGTCCCGTGACTGTCCGTTATATACAGGTTTCACTGTAATATAAAATATAAATATGAATAATATGTATAATGTATAAAGAAAATTAATGTACATAAATATACAATCGATAAGTACCCACATAAATATACAATTCAAAAGTTGCATTATATACAATAAAAAAGTGTAAAAGTTTTCGAATGGATCGAATGTTTTGAAAATATTTTATATAAGAATTCGAATATTGTCATTATATTGAATTCCAAAGTAAGAATATTTTTAAATATATTTCTGCAGTCTGCACCTATTTAATGTTGTAAATCTTTTCATATTTTAAATAAATGTATAAAATATATAACTTTAACAGAATTGTATAATAAAATAATAAGGAAATAAAAAACACAGAGCATGAACTCAAACTCTATCTGGTGGTGAAAATATTATTGTTTCACCGTTTGCAGCCGCGGATAGAGCGCTATAGTAAATACCGTTTCAACAAATTCGACAGTATAGTAATTTGGTACTTAGAGTTCGAACAAAATGTGCACTTCACAATAATATTATACGAATGTCCTGTGTTATTGTATTTGTATAATATAATATATTGTACTTCATATAGTTGTTTGATACAGATTGCAGTGATAATAGTATCGGTAATTCTATCTCAATGTACAAAAAACAAAATCAAAATATATTGAGAATGGTTGTCAGACTCACAATCTGAACAATAATAATAATACAAAGAATTAGGTCTTACACAATAATAAAATAATATTTTATATTTGAGGGAAAGGTATTAAAATCTTAATAAAAAAATGGAAAACTTAGAAAATGTAAAATTTATAAAAATTTATAAAAAAAAAATTAATTTGCCATGCGTATAGGGAGGGGTCTTAGACCCATTTCCTTGTAATCTGTATAGCAGTAAGAGAAATATTAAGTGATTTCAAGATTATAAGATTCCAAGGTATTTATTATTATATAACATACTAGTGATAATAAGCGTTGTTTTTATTATTTTTTTTTATAAGTAGGTATAGCAGATACAATAAAATATTATGAATTTATAGTTATCATTAAATTTACTATAGACCGAAGTTTATTTGGAGCATTATATTTTACAATCCATTTATTTAAGACTTATTGACAAAAATAAGTTAGTTTTCTTTTAACTCGTATGTTACAACGACAATTATTATTTTGAAGTAAAGAAATACATTAATATTAAATATATACAGAATTTTACTTTCATTAACTTAAATTCATTATTTTTAACACAAA